TACCTGAGGATGCTGCCATATAAATATGATCAATTATTGCTTTGTCATTCTTGAGAAGATTTTTAAAGAATTTTCCTATATATTTGTATGTAAAACTTTGGTCGGCCATTGTGGCCCCGCCCTACCCCCGGGGTCATGATTTGAACAAATTTAAATCTACACTACCTGAGGATGCTTCCACATGAGTTTCATCTTTCCTGGCCCAGTGGTTCTGGAGAAGAAGATTTTTAAAAGATACCATTAATTTGTCATTAATTCATAATTATCTCCCCTTGGAAGAGGGCTTGGCCCTTCATTTGTACAAGCTTGAATCCCCTTTACCCGAGGTTGCTTTGTGGAAAGTTTCGTTAAAATTGGCCCAGTGGTTCTTGAGAAGAAGTCGAAAATGTGAAAAGCTTACAGACAGACGGACGGACAGACGGACAGACGGACTACAGACAAAATGTGATCAGAAAAGCTCACTTGAGCTTTCAGCTCAGGTGAGCTAAATATACGAGTTCCATTTTTATTTGAAAAGCAGCTGTCAATGATATCAAAAAGCCTGGACTTTAATTTATCGTTGGGAATGGTTGTGTATAAAGTTGAAAAGTTCAAATTGTACAAAAGTTCTTTGTTGAATTTTTTAGCATCCACATCTGATTCACACCACTTTATGAATATATTGTTGCACAGTACTCTTGAAGTTTTTTCCTTCACTACTGTCAATATCTTAGTGAGGAGTGAAGAGGTTTGTTTGAACACGTACTAGAACCCGTAATGTATCTTTATTTTTAAGGATTCTTATGAAGTTTCGCAATTCAATATACCTGGTAGTGCTAATTTATTTTGCATCTTCGTCAAGTCATTACAAAATGGAGCTGTAATGATGGTCGAGTTTTATAAACTTACTTACACCTAATTCCAATCTGCATATAAAGAGTCAGAAAGCTAGTTTAAAATAAATGTGCTTAGATTTTTTTTTTAAATATCTAAATAAATATATCCGAATAATTTAGATAACTTTGCTTGATTACACTTTACTCTTGTTTAAGAGTCTGCGTGTTCAAAATACGTATGAAAATATGCGTTTCACATTTATCCTTTTTATACCAGTGGATAGAAGCAGAATTCATGATATGTGTATAAATGAGCATGGAGCAGAAGATTAATAAGAATTTATTTAATATCTTTTCTGGAAATATGTAAGAGGAGTTCCCCCCTTACTGAATCTTGCTTGGGAAAAATGTATGATGGCTTTGTTTTAAAACGGATGTCGATATTGAGCGGAACATACCCACACATTTATAGGAACGTTGAAGTTATTATGAAATGTTAGTACCTGAGGGACAGTTTCAGCACATTTCGGGTTCACAAGGATGCAACGAATTGTGTTAATCAGCTGCGCCGAAGCGATTTATGTGAAACACTTCAAAAAAGTAAAATGACCTTCATCTGATCAACGAGGTCATGTGATTTCGTAACAAATATTTTATTTTTAGCCTAGAGAAGTCTCTATATGAATTTGGTGTACTTAGTTACATATCTTAAGAATTCAAAAAAATAAACTTTGAAATGCATGGTTACGTTATAAAAAGCAGTTAAAGCTCCAGGAAGCCTTAACATTACTGCGCAGTGTGTAAAAATGGGCTAACAATTAGTATGAAAAAGGCTTTGTAAGAGACGGCTGATATTCTTGTTTCTTCAACTTGTTTGTCAATAATTTACCTCGTTTTAGAAAAGAGACAGTTTGATTTCTGGAATGTAATATTCGATAACAGAGATAGAAGAGTAAACGAGTCTTGATCGCTACACGTACGATAACATCGCCGGCTGACATGACGTTAGAATTAAGAGTGATGCTGCTTTGTTGTTGATGTCAGTAGACATATGCATATTTATAATTTCGCCGGAACTTTTGAACATTTGTTCAATTTGCTCTTAATGACGTGTTGACGAATTGTTTTTATGAATTTATCTGTGTCCTTTTTGAAGTTTAAGTAAATGTTTCAATATTTTCCCAAGAGACCGCGTATCGTCTTTAAAAAAGAATGCAAAGGTCAAATTTTTAGGATTAGTCCAGTCAATCTAGCTCAAAAACACCCAAACCTCAAACAAATTGCAACAGAAATTATTCAGTGGAATTTTGTTATTTATAATGTGCCTTTTGATACATAAAAACTCTAGAAAAATATATTTGTCCAAACATCATTTTTTTTTCAATTTTCAAAAAATCCAATATTTGTTCAAAAAGGCCAATAAATCTCCTTTTGAATAGAAATTCTATTTATGCATAAAAATAGTTTTGCCAGGTATATGAACTTGAATTTTTTTGACAGTCATGCAGAAATGCGTCTACAAACAGAAACTGGTGATTATTTCATTTGTTGCTATGGATTCCTGTTCCCATGGCAACAAAAATATTTGAAAAATAAAACTATTCCAATTCCTTAGTACGGCTTTGTGCAGGGACAAAAATACGTAGTCTATAGTTGGAATAAATAATTAGTGAGGACCTAAGATAATTTTAAATAAGTTTTAGGGGATAATGTAAGCACAGACATCCAAGGATTTTTTTCGGGAGGGGGGGGGGCATCAAATCTCACAGATGTTCAAGTCTCATAATTTTTTGACAAGCAAACGGAGACCTACTAGCACGGAGGAAGTTTATAGAAGTCAGTGGACCCACTTTGCTGCTCTAGACTCATTTTTAAGGGCTCGAGTAACACCAAGAGCTAGCCAGTCAAACTTGGTAAGTACACTTACGCCATGTCCCATTGCCATGGTACTTGGCCATCACTGTTAAAATAATCACACAGTTCATCTCTGATATATCGTGCATCAGAGGATGCACGGTTTCCTCCCTGCTGAATTATTGGACGTAAAGGCTCTGTATTTTCTTGTCTCCATTGTCCTGGTTGTACAGTCCTTGTGTCTGTATATTCTTCATCAAATGTTCCAGATGGGGAGTACTTTGCTTTAGACAGAACTTTGGTGCGTAGATAATTATGGAGAGCACAACAAGCTAAAACAATTTTCTGAGCCTTTTCTGGTTCCATATCAATTGTGCCTTTAAAAACTCGGAATCTACTGGATAAAATACCAAAAACATTCTCAACAACTCTCCTTGCCCTTGATAGCCTGTAGTTAAATATTCTTTTTGATAAATCCAGTTGTCTTGAAGGATAGGGCTTCATGAGGTAGGTTTTTAGAGGGAAAGCTTCATCACCAACGATAACATAGGGAAGAGGGCTTTCTCTTCCAGGCAAAAGTTTCCCAGGTGGTAAATTTAATGACTTCTCTTCTAGAGCTTTAAAAATAGATGAATTAGCAAATACACCCCCATCACTGATTCTACCATTACATCCAACATCAACATATATAAATCTATAATCTGCATCAACCAATGCAAAAAGAACAATGCTGAAAAATTGTTTGTAGTTGTAATACATTGATCCACTTTTTATAGGGCATTTTATTGCTACATGTTTTCCATCCATTGCAGCAATACAATTAGGGAAATTCCATTTTTCCTCAAACTGCTTAGAAACTTTATCCCATGCTTCAACTGTATCTGGCACCTGAAAGAAACAAAATATTCTTTTCTAGGATTCAAGCAGTCAAATTGATGATGAAGATATTGATGGACGAGAAGATACACTGTCTGAAACATCAAACCTAGATGATGGATTTTCACCACAAAACAAGACCAATAAGAGAAAAAGAATGACTGGAGCAGAGGCTGTCATGACAGAGGCTGTATCTGTTCTAGCGAACTTAAAAAACCGACCACAGCCAAAAGAGTCTGCCCAGGAGATGGATGAGGATGTTGTGTTTGGTCAGTACGTAACAGTGGAACTGAGGAAAATAGAGGATCCAAGGAAAAAAGCTTATATAAAATTTAAGATACAGTCTCTTCTTTTTGAAACACAATTTGGTAAAAGAGAAGTTAACACTACATTTAGACATATAAAAATTCTCAAATCTTATATCTTCATTATCCTTCTTGCATATGGTAGCAATTTCTAAAATACATATTTTTTCAAACTTCTAAAACAAAGACATCTTTCGCCTTTATATAGCCAAATATGTTACATGTGTAATTGAATACAATTTACTGTTTATAAATAAAGAAAAAAATTCTGTTGCAATTTTTTAAAGTTTATGACAGGTCGCTGGCTACATAGTATTGAGATAAGAGCTGGACTCTCTTCCGTTTGGTCCGAGATGAACATGTGTGGCACATTCCTTGGACCGAGTCAAACTGGAGAAATCCACACCATAGAGTGTGAAACCAGACCCCTCCTATATGGGTCTTATGTCACTGTGAAAATAGTGCGTCCTAACTACATTACAGACGACACTAATGCAATCGGCGGAAAAAATGTCTTGGTTTTAAGAGAAATTGTCGTCAATGGCCGTGATGCATAAATCACAGTTTAATTAACATTTTTTTTACATATAAAACATACACATATAAATGTTAAAAATTATTTCAAATTAAATCAAGTTTCCATTTTTAATTTTGGCCTTCCAATGTACAATGAAGTAAATTTCACTTTACTTCTAATGATAATCTCATGTGATAATGTGATTTAAAAGAATAAAACTAGCGCACACAACAAAAACTAACTACAGAGAGTTATGGAGTATCACGTAAAAAAAGCAGAGTGAACATCGATTTAAAAAAACTTTATACGAAAGTGTGAACAGGTTATATATGTAACACGGGGCCTGATAATTCTAGAGTTGCATGGGATCAGGTGGCTATGGATAGTAAACATCCTCTTTTGACAGTCCTTACTTCCGTGATTCCCATGTATTGATCGGGTAGAAGGGATATTCTATAGTCAAATTTAGTGAGAAAAAAAAAACAAAGAAAAATGAATTTTAATGAAATGTATTATAAGTTTACATGGAAATTATAATGGCTTTTGAATTTACAAACTTTTGACATTAAATGAGATTAATCAAAAGTTAAATGTGCATAGACACAGATTTGAAGTTAACAGTTTCTGTATCATATATTTTTGAATAAAAACAATACATCCGAACGCGAAAGAGTTTTAATTGAAGAGGAAGAATATTAACTTCAAATCTGTTTCGATGCACCTTTAACGTCAAAACTAAACCTGGATTCTGGATTCATTTTGTTTACGTTTTTTTAAAAAGTTGTCAAAAAGTAGTCATATTCATTAATCTTTTTTTTTCCAAGTTGAATTAAGAGCAACCCTTTTACTTATTAAAGTATTTTATGATAAATGTTATTTTATATATATATATATATATATATATATATATATATATATATGTCCTATTATATATATATATATATATATATATATATATATATATATATATTTATAAACTATATATGACATATAGATGTCTTATTTGTAAGCACAGCACTGACACAGACAGTTTATACAGCCCTGTTACAGGCCGCAGCTACAAAATACTAGGGAATTTGTCCTGTCAGACTGACAACTGCATTTATCTCATAAGTTGCAAAGTTTGCTCCAAACAGTATATTGGTGAAACAGGAGATCTCCGCAGGAGAGTCAATAACCACCGTTCGACCATAAGGACCAAAAAACTCAATGAACCCGTTGTTGAACATTTCAACCTTGAGGGTCACAAATGGGAGGACATGACAGTAGTGGTGATTGACCATAACCCAAGATGGAAGACGCTCAGAGGAAAAGCAAAGAAAAGTTCACTTTTGCACAGATTGAAGTCATTTTCCGCCCCAAAATGGTATTAACAAATTGAATGACTTCACCAGAATGTTTTTAAATTAGACCCAATTCCTGAATATACTAAACAAAAATTCTCTCAATTTAGTGTAAACTCTACAGTTAATTTGCCACCAACTCTCGAACAACCCACTTAACTATGAATTGCTTACGCCTTTGTTATTTATTTTTTTGATAATAAGTCCTTAAAATATTTCAAAATTTATAATTGATCACAATTCTTATTTAAAATTCCTACTATATCAAAAATTAATCTTTATTCAAGTAAAGTTACGCCATTTTGAGAGAATGAAATATATATATTAAAAAACAATGTACGATTTACTGATTGTCGTAATTAATTAGCATAATTAATTCGTTCAATTATGTAAATCGCACTTCCCAAATGATGAAACCCGAGTATGCCCGATAGACCGGAATTTCATAGCGGTCCGGTTTTTTGGGGCAACAATAGTGTTCTTTAAAATTTCCAATTCAACATGTAATTAAGTTTGTAAATATATAGTGTTTAGTAGTTTAGTAGTAGTGCTAGTTGTTTTTGTGTCTCTTTTTCCTTTGTTCTTATGACTTTTTAACTTTTTTCTTTGTCCTGAGTCAGCAAATACAGGGCTCGCCGTAAAATTTTACAATTTAACAATTTTTTTATATATAGTCAGGACTTGACCTTGTGACATACAACAATTTTTATATATATATATATATATATATATATATATATATATATATATATATATATATATATATATATATATATATATATATATATATATATATATATTTATATATATATATATATACATGTATATATATATATATATATATATATATATTTTATATATATATATATATATATATATATATATATATATATATATATATATATATATATATATATATATATATATATATAAAGGATTTTTCTTGAAAAACCTTTTAACACTTTTATTTAATGCACGTACGCAGGATAAACTCCTCATGATACATAAAAAGAATCTAAGATTCACTTATATTTGCTTACCTCTGATATTAATTTATGAATTAGTTTTCTCCTTTGTAATGATTTTTTACATTTTTTCGATAAATGCTATCCATGCAAATTATTTCATTTTAGATTATTTTACTTTAATGTTATTTTACTTTACATTATAGTCCAGTCATATTAACAAATTTTACATCCAAATGGGAACTAATTGCAACAGTTTCAAAAAAGTTTTTATCAATCTATAAGATGATCTGAATATATAACAAAAAGTTTAGAAAAACTCATACATGGAAAAATTGAAAAATTAAGGTCATTTTTGGGAATTATTGTGTTCACTTTGACTAAGTGAAGTTAGCAGAATCAAACAAACAATGTAAAGTAGAAACTTCTATACTGGTTTGAAAAAAACATGTAACTCGGGAAATAAAGTTAACTGAAAAAACTGAAGGGGAAAAATATTAAATTTTGGTTGCTCTATGTGTTGGTTGCCATGGAAACAGTATAAATTGAGAACTTCACCTAATTTTGAACATTGAACCTTAACAAACACGAATACAGCAAAACTGATTAATTTACACATACTCAAAATGCATTCTGTTGCCACAATACTTTTAAGAAATAATTTATTTTTGTTTGATTTATTTGTAAATAGGTGGTACCCATGGATACATTATAAATGAATTTCACTTGAAGCAAATTTTGGTAGTCAGCAATGCTAAGTATAACATGAATATATTCAATCACTAATAGGTAAGAGAAATAAAATGTGTGAATTAATATGAAATGTAATATCCGAAAATAATTAGGAACACATATATAGGGGTCAGGCCCCCCCCCCCCCCTCCCTCCGAATTTCGAGTGCAATGATTTTTTTTATGAACAAATTGCGGGAAAATGACATCCCCTAAAAAAAATGATCCGTCCTGTAACTAAAAGGTTTTGCTCGTATATGAAGAAATTTGTGGAAAGACCTCACCCCACCAGACCCCCTCCCCAGAATAGGTTTATATGTTTTTTTCCTGGATTAGGTAGGTTATTGAATTTTTTTATCAACATTTTTTTTTAAACTGATTTTTTTTTACACAAAGCAAATTTGTTCACCATAGATTAATTGTGTTTTCCACCATCAGAAAATGTTCTTTCAACTTGTGACGCCAGTTTTGAGTCCCTTCAATTTGATTGGTTGGCGACTGGTATAAAATGCTCAGAAATAAAAATATACATCAGTATCATAAAATGCTTTTACACTTTGTGTAAGATATCTCTTGCTTGACCAGAACTTGAAATATATTCTCATTTACCATCCATATGATAAGATCACGGCCTCCAGTGTAATTAGAACATAGCAATAGTCAATGTTACTTCATGGATGGTGATATTCAAAAACCACTGGGCCAGGAATGATGAAACTCATGGGGAGTCATCCCCAGGTAGTGTTCATTCAAGTTTGTTCAAATCATGACCTCTGGGGGTAGGGTGGGGCCACAATGGGCGATCAAACTTTTACATAGGGATATATAGGAAAATATTTAAAAATCTTCTTCTCAAGAACCGTTGGGACAGGAAAGATGAAACTCATGCTGAAACAACCTCATGTAGTGTATATTCAAATTTGTACAAATGTTGACCTCTGGGTGTAGGGTGGGGCCACAATGGGCGATCAACGTTTTACATAAGAATATATAGGAAAATATTTAAAAATCTTCTTCTCCAGATCCATAGGGACAGGAAAGATGAAACTACTGTTGACTCATTGCCAGGT